GTGACGGGGGAGGCTTGGGTCTGGGCTTCTCTGCTTTGGCTACTGGGCCTGCGACCTGACCTCTGATTAAAAAAAAAAAAAAAGTAAGTGATCATTTGGTTTATCATGAATAAATACATTTAATTTAATACAAAGCTATAGTGATTTGTGATTAATCGGATTCCAGCCAGCATCTTTCAATTACATTACAATAAAATTATTCAAATATTAACCTTTATTTATTTATGATTCTTTTTTTTAAAAATTACATTATAATCGTAACAATATATCGTAATAATATATATATATATATATATATATATGATACTGCAAATACAAAGAACCCCTACGTGTAAACAATGAATAAGGACAATTCTAACCAATTGCGATCAGTCTGGCTAGTTTTCACTACAGCGAAGTAGCCTTTAGCTGTTTCTAAAACACATGTCAGTTCAGCAGTCAAAAGTTAGAGCACCGTCCTGCTCAGAAATGTGTGAAACTATTACAGAACTACAAACTTTCTTAAATGTCCCAAAACACTGCAAAAACAATAATGAGAAATCCTGTTGATTGCCAAGAGTTGTTTGAAATGGCCTGATGATATCAAACAGCCCAGAGTGAATTGGCCAAATGTGGATTTAATAAGATGACACATATTAAAGAGATACTAAACGTAGATTCACATCACACAATAACCACAAAGGGTCGACGTGATTTTCCTTGGGAAGAGAGGAAAAGTATTAAAATGACCAGCTGTTAAAGTTCTACAGGAGAGACGTTTCACAGCTGCACATACAAATCTTTGTAGAATTACTGATGAAAAGTGGCCTTTAGGGGGTCAGTCTGTCTCCTCTGAAATGATGGGAAATTTTTATTCAAAACACTGCTGACGTTAAGGAGAAACGGCTGACAGAAGAAAATCAAAAAAGGTTCCAGGCATAGAATGAAAAGGTTGGAAATGAAGAGGCTTCTCTCACACTTTTCTCTTTTCGATCTCCAGGTGAATAAAAGAGCATTTTTACCACCACACATCAATTTATCACAACAATTGAACAAACAGCAGCTATTTCTGCTCAGAGGGAAACATTACAGCTATAACCAGGACTCAGTTCAATTCTTTTCTCACAAACACACACTCCCGCGCGCACGCATACACACAGACCTACGCTTGCGGGCCCTTGGGCACAGGAAGTAAAGAAACATGCGACAGAGGCAGAGGGAGGAAATCAAAACAAGGACAAAGTCTGTAGTCTGTTTAAAGGCGGGATAGGAAATCTTTCATCTCTGGTGCTGGTTATAGGCGTGGAGCGTCCCAGCTGTCAGTTCAGATTTTCTGATCAACCTAAGGCACGATTTTGGACTGTGGGAGGAAACCAGAAGACTTGGAGAAAACCCCACACACGGGACAAATATCCTAACACCATTAGCCATATTATCGGCCGATGTTAGCATAATTATGTAATATCGATAGAAATCGTATTCGCTTTTTGATTCGATAATAAACACCCGATAATGCAAAGTCTGGATTTCGCCCAGATGATGTGACCAAAAAAAGTTTGAAAGTGAAAGTG